GAGAGAGAGAGAGAGAGAGAGAGAGAGAGAGAGAGAGAGAGAGATCGCCCATCTCTAGATGAAAGCCGTTCAAAAGATGATAGCTCTTTTGTTTTTAAACATGTTGATTGTGTTGGAAACTGCTAAAAGTTAAGAAGTCAAAACCGTTAAGCCCATTCTACAATTGCGTTAGCGTAGACGTGAACGTAAGAATCAACCAATCCGAATGTTTTATTCACTGATTGCTTTACTCTGATTGGTTGTCGTAATCACTTACAACCACTTGCATTCACGTTCACGCAATTGTAGAATGGGCTTTACTGTGGCTGCGTTCCGAAATTCACTGTTAGTACTGAAATTCTATAGTGTATGTAGTGTAGTGTAGTTTCTATAGTATATGTGACATGAACTATAGATTTTCAGTACTAGAAGTGAATTTCGGAACGCAGCCTGTGTAAAACAATAGAGTTAGAAATTGAACGTTATTAATATGTAACGTAATGTCTAATATTTTTAAAGATAAATTAGTATAATGTCTCACTCTATTTTTCAAGGTATGTATTTTTATTTTAATAATAAAACTTGTAAATATGAATAAACATCAATCATGTTAATATTTTCCTATGTTTATTTTTTAATAATATTTGATCTATTTTTATCCACAGTTTTTGATCAGTATCAAAAAGCACGATTGCTTTTTGTGCAATCTGTCACAGATTTCTCTTCAAAATCAAGCAATATTGACTGCTTAGAAGCAGCAGATGTTATAAGTCTATTATGTCCATTATTAGCAGATATTGTGCCATCCATTCAACATATGGCAGCAATTGCTTTAGGCAAACTGGCGAATCATAATATGAAATTAGCACAAGCCATCCTTAAAAGAAATATATTATCACAATTACTGAAGAACATAGACAAACAAAATGTATGATTTCTTTAAATATAAGCGCGTCAGTTATGATAAGATGTAGATTTTTATAAACAAAATCTATTTTAGACACATCTTATTTTCTTTTAAAATTAAATTAAATTAACAGTATACAGTTAATATAATAATTAAAATATATAGTTAATATAATAACACGTGAGGAAATTATATACATAGAACTGTATATATATATATATATATATATATATATATATATATATATATGTATACATGTACATGTATATATATATATATATATATATGTATATATATATGCATACACAGTTCTGTATATAGTATGCATGTACTGAGTATATATACATATGTATGTATATATATATAGTTTTAATATGCATTATAGAAATATCTGAAATATCTTCCTGATATATGATTAAGGAAAATTTATTGTCACAGAAATTTTACAAGAAAGCGGCACTCTTTGTCTTGAGAGCAATAGCAAGACATTCATCAGAATTGGCATTAACAGTAGCACACAACAATGGCTTGCAAACTATAATTGAATGCTTAGAAGATTTTGATCCTGGAGTAAAAGAAGCAGCTGCTTGGGCATTAGGATACATTGCAAAGCATAATGAAAATTTAGCTCAGTTGGTAGTGGATGCTGGTAAAACAATCTCATTAAAAATTTTCTAATAAGAATATTGTACTTATCAATATTATTCCACTATACTAACTATTATTCTATTTATCAGGAGCAGTATCACTTCTTGTACTGTGTTTGCAAGAACCTGAATTATATATTAAGCAAATTAGTGCATCAGCTATTAATGATATATCTAAACATAATACTGAACTTGCGCAAGTAGTAGTAGATGCAAGTGCTATTCCTATTCTCATAAAAATGCTGAACAATCCTGATGCCAAAGCAAAGGTGATTTAATGCAATATGTGCCAAGCAGTTTTAGACAGTTATAATTGTTAAATATGTAACATCCGTAGCGCCAAGCATTGCTAGCATTGAGCAGTATAGCCAAACATTCTACAGATCTAGCAGAGACTGTAGTCGAGACAGAAATCTTACCAAATGTACTGATGCATATGGCTCATCCAGATGAAAATGTGGGTAGGATTGCAGCTATCTTAACAAGGGAAATTTGCAAACACACATTGGAAGTAAGGAAATATTACTTAACAGATTTGCAGTGAAAACTTTATTTTAGGAATTAAATGAGTCAACAAAAACTTACTATCCCGTCCCAAAATACATCTCAACAAACTTATTATCTTTTGTTTCTTTTCACTGTACTTTTATTCTTTTCACTGTACTTCTAAATTTATACTTTTAGTTGGCGCAACTTATAGTGAATTTTGGAGGTATCGCTGCACTTATTGAATTGATCAATACTTCGCAATCGACGGCGAGATTACCGGCAATTATGGCACTTGGCTATATTGCTAGTCATTCCGATCAACTAGCTGTGGCTATAATAGAATCTAAAGTACGAATTAATGGTAATATTTAATATACACATAATATAACATGTAATTATTTACTCTAGGGTATTGTACACTTGGCAGCTGTTTTGCAAGAATGTACGGAAGATCATATACTTACAGTAACAGTATGGACAATCGGGCAGATCGGCAAGCATACACCCGAACATGCAAAAACAGTAGCAGTCACGAATATACTATCCCAATTACTAAAAGTATAGAATTATTGAATTATTCTTTGTGGAGCTAATTATTAGTATTACAAATGCTTATTTGATAAATTCATTTCTACATTATTCCAAATTTGCATTTAAAAAGGTGGAAGTGGTTAAAAAGCTAGAAAGAGAGCTATGCCTTGCAATATATATTTTCACTTTTAAGGATAATAGTTTCTTAGCAGGTTCAAATATAATCTTTACCTTTTTAAATAGTTGTGCAGCAATCCAAGAAGTTCAGAAGATCTAAAGACAAAATGTAATACAACGTTAAAACAGATCATGCAAAAGTGCATGTATGTTGAAGCTCTTGAACTTATGTTACACAATGTACCTCCTAATATCTTGAAATATGTGCTAGGACAATTCAGCAAGGTAAGAATACAATATTATTGAATTTTTTGTATATAGTATAATTAGCTAAATATGAAAAATTTTTCAAACATACAGTTGATAATATGATAAGATAAATAAGAGCTAATCGCTGTATTATTATTATATCATTTAATAAAAATAACTGAAAATAGATGAACCGAGATCTCGATAATTTTTGGCAATAATCAAATGTTTCAGTCCTGTTTTTGCATAATTTTCAATGATAATTATAATTTGAATTCACGCAAGGCAGTATGAATTTTTATCTTTATTATATAATTATCTATACAATATTCTCTTGACACGTTTTAGTGATACGTTATATAAAGTGATAACAAACTTTTTATTCAATACAAACTTTTTATTCAATAGAAAGTAACTCATTTAGAACATAGCAGTACATTTTTCTTTTAGAAAAATCTCGTAAAATCTTAACAATTGAATATAATACAAATAATACAAATGAAATATCCAGTTGCTTTCTGTTTTTCATCATTGTTCCTTATTTCATAATTATATTTGTCATATTTACATCTATACGCAAGCATTTTGATTAAGCTTTCAGTGTACAAAATCATTGCTCTACTTAAAAATTGATCATAAGCAATTGCGTAAGGCGGGTGTTTCTTCAGTTCGCATAAACTATTATGCAATAAGATACAATTTTTGAATATTTTAAACTTTTTAAAGAATTTCTAACGCTCTTTTTAGCGTAATGTATAGCGATCAGGATTGGGAAAATGACTTATTGAAAAAATAAGTTATCGTAAAAATTGTTATCGTTATTCAAGAAGTAACTAGTTATAATTCCTATTTTTTCCAAATTTTTAAGACCTTTTTTACGATTTACTTCTATCCATTTCATAAGAATGTATTTACATGTATAAAGTATCGATTATATTCATTACTATTATTAATGAAAAAAAAATGTTAGCAAGGTATTACAGAAAAAAAGTTACTTGTAACAGTAACAGCGTTTCAAATAATGCGTCACTTCCCAATCCCAGTAACAGTATAATACATAATAGCAATTGTGCATATAACTTATATCTACAAATCTTTTGGTCGATTTCTACATTTATAGCTGTCTTGTATTTCGGTGGTCTGATTATTTTAAAGGCAAAATGTTCTTCAATTTGATTTTATCTAATTTAGGTACAGAATAATTGTTAATGTTATGGTTTTAATATAACAGTTATCGTTGAAACATAATATATGCTTCGCATTATTATATACGCTCGTCAGATCAATAGCAATTAAAAATCTATATATATGTCACATTGAAGTTATCCCTTCCTTTGAAATGCCCTTTGTAAGACAGTATAACATCATTTACATCTTAAAAAAGTACATTTTTCAGTCTTCCGACAACAAGTGATTTGACTAACAAAGAGATGCTACAACCTGCTAAATCGATTTCTGAACGAGACATAGCACGTTCGCTAGCTGCGATGTTAAGCATCAACACCCTAATTGGGATTTGTGCCAATGGGCCTTAGTTTATGAGAAATTACAATATAAAGTTTGGATTACGAGACTGTATCACGGATATAGTTAAAAATGCGACTGTCTTTCAGCGAGGTGGCGTAGCAGAGCAGACTGAGGCTCTCACGTCGAAAATTCTTGAGCCGGCAGCGAGCGTTCAAAACCTGGCGACGAGTTATCCTTGTGCGGTGTTTTTTTTTTTTTTTTACCTTAGGGCATGTAATTAATGTTTTTCGAATATGATACATTTGTTTTGCATATGTCTTGTTTTTATCTATTAATCAGAGGTAATTAGAGAAGTGTCAGGCTTGTTTAACGCAAACACGAATATAGACACGTATTTTGCATTGCTTACGATGCAATATATATTTTAGTACATATTAAAACGTCATGTTTTCTGTTGTATTTAATAAGTTTTTAGTTCTTGTTGAGAGGAGAGGACAAACATACAATCAAACGTACAACAAGATATTCCGCGCCGAGAAATATAAGTAAACATATAACTTGAAAATAATATCGTTGAAATATACAGCAATCTACTTGTCGTAGAATGTTTACTTTTATAGGAAGGTTAAAAATATGATCACGAGAATATATAACTATCTTGATTTATTTACAGGCGATGAAAGTATACATTTGGACATTCGAGGTGATGCTATATGTATACAATCACTTTCTTATTATTTATCTTCAGCATCAATAACGTTTTAATATGTACTAAAATATATATTGCATTGTAAGCAATGTAAAATACGTGTCTATATTCGTGTTTGTGTTAAACAAGTTTGACACTTCCCTAATTACCTCTGATTAATAGCATAAAAACGAGACATATGCAAAACAAATATATCATATTCGAAAAATATTAATTATATGCCCTAAGGTAAAAAAAAAAAAAACACCGCACAAGGATAACTCGTCGCCGGGTTTCGAACGCTCGCTGCCAAAAATTTTCGACGTGGGAGCCTCAGTCTGCTCCATGTCACCTCGCTGAAAGACAGTCGCATTTTTAGCCATATCCGTGATATAGTCTTGCAATCCAAACTTTATATTGTAATTTTTCATAAACAAAGGCCCATTGGCACAAATTCCAATTAAGGTGTTGATACTTAACATCGCAGCTAGCGAACGTACTATGTCTCGTTCAGAAATCGATTTAGCAGATTGTGGCATCTCCTTGTAAGAGACGTTTCTTTTACTAAATATGTCCAATATAAAAAAATGTTATTTAAGTATCTTATAAGAATATTAAATGCATCTTTTTCCGAGCCGTTTATTATATGCATCTACTGTTTACATATTTATTTACTCTCTAATGGCAGTATTCAGCGCAGACATACATTTTATAGAAAAGTTAGGTATGAATAATGAAGGATAGTTAATCAATAAATATCGTGGGTTATAATTGACGAGATTAATTTAAAAAAATAGAAAAAACGTCAAAATATCGAGTAATAAGACATTGACTTGATATTTGTATTAGTCCATATCTATTATGCAAATCTTATTGTTATATATACCACTTCTTTTCTCTTTTCCTTTTTCTCGCTCTGATAAATATTAAGCTCGTCAACAATAATAGATAATAATTATAGTATATATTATGTGTTTACACCAATTTGAACATCCATTTTGGATTATATTGACAACATTAACCTTCTGCTGACAACGTTGGGGTCGGATCCAACCCCAAACACACGTTGCTGGATATGTTCCGCAACTTCACGTTGTCAGCATATGATTAAAGGTCAATCTCTTTAACAGAATAGAATTTCATATTATTATTAACAATGATAAATATGTTTATTTTGTTTTAAATATATGCAATTGGTACTTTTTTTTAAATAAAATCGTATTTCTATTAGATTTTATTGAATATAAATGTGGTGTTAGTACAAAAATTGAGCATGTATATTATATGCAATAAATAAATTTCAAAACTTATATAATATACAGGGTCATTGAAAAGTATCGGACCCCCCTAATATCTTCAGTTAGAATGCATTTTGGAGAAAATGTCCAATAGCAAAGTTGTATGGTTTCAAGCGGGAAGTAAATTGATGACCTTGACTTTGACCTTGACCATGTCCTTCAAGGTCACCTTATTTTTTTAAATGAAACCCCCTATATTTGATTGCATATTCTTATAGCTTATCTCGAGAGCTTTCCAAAACGCTAGAATAAAACATTTTTTCATTAAGTACTTTTTGAATTATAAAGGTTTGAAGTTAACAATTTTTTAACACAAAATGTAAAATATCTTGTAAAATATTATTTAGTTTTCAGTAATCATAACCTTAATACTTTTGTGCGCGGAATAATGAGACCAATTAATTGGTTTAAAGAAAATACATTAATCGAAAAGTGTTGGATCCCTCTAATATTTTCAGTAAGAATGCATTTTGGAAAAATGTCCAATAGCAAAGTTGTACGGCTTCAAGCGATGATGCTAGTAGGCTACGGCGGAATACTGCCCGAAAGTGATCGCGAGAAGCTGCTCGAATGCGTGATGTCCGAAGGCCTTAACTGGCCGGACCCACACGCCACTTAATAAATTGTTAACTTCAAACTATAACTCAAAAAGTACTTAATGAAAAAATGTTTTATTCTAGCGTTTTGGAAAGCTCTCGAGATAAGCTATAAGAATATGCAATAAAATGTAGGGGGTTCCATTTAAAAAAATAAGGTTGACTTTGAAATGACCTTGAAGGACATGGTCAAGGTCAAAGTCAAAGTCATTATCTTACTCCCCGCTTGAAACCATACAACTTTGCTATTAGACATTTTCTCCAAAATGCATTCTAACTAAAGATATTAGGGGTCCGATACTTTTCGATGACCCTGTATAAGAAATACTGAAGAATAAATCGATTTTACCAAAATTACCAAAATTTCTGATGTATCTCAGATTTTAAAGCAATTAAAAAATATATTTGGCTCAGAGCATGCAAATATTTCTGAAAAAAAGGAAATAAGTATTGTTCAATAATTGAAACAATCTTCCTAGGATTGATGAATATTGGATGTTGATAAATAAAATATAAAATTATTTAAGACGTCATATGTCATTAACACATTTTTAAAATCAATGACAATAATTTAGATCAAACCTAGTAATTTATATGTAGAATGAAAAAATAAATTTTCCAATAAATATGTTTAAAATAAAAATTTATTATTATTATATAAATAAATAAATATGTGTGTGTGTGTGCGTGTGCGCGTGTGTGTGTGTGTGTGTGTGTGTGTGTGTGTGTGTGTGTAAGAATTCTGTCTGTGTGGCGAATAAATTATTTTTTTATTTTTTGCATTTTTGTAATAGTGTTATCTTTTTTGTTCTCTTCTTTTTATATGTAAAAATTTCTTCTTTATTTGTAAACATTTTTTGTTGGCAGTTTTCGATTAATTCCCTTTTTTTAAATTAATTATATAAAAAAGTTTTTCTTTTGTTAATAATTTATGGAAATGTTCATGTGTAGAAAATATAAAGCAGGAAACACAATAAAATAAGTTATTAAATTTAATTATTAAATAAAAATATTGAATTAAAAATTACCAATATTGAATTTAATTTTTATTCCTGATTATTTATATTAATTATGCATGAGAAAATTGAGGATAAAAATTTACATACACGCACGAGCACACACACACACACACACACACACACATATACAGACACACAAGGTGTCTCTTTCTCCTCCGGGCATTTTGTGGGACGTAGAACAGATTGAGGTGAACATAAAAGTCCTATACCGTTTTGCGATATTCGCAATAATTATCGAGATATTGTAGAAAATGTGTGAATGATATGGTAAATGAGTTATAATAGCGACGACTGCCGTCGTGTACTTATATTAGGTGCGCAACTAAGTTCCCGCTGTTTGTCAATAGATGGCTCCAGCATAAGTGCTGATCGATTTTGACATCCAAAACGTCATGAACCAAGCTTAGACATATGGTAAACAAACCGCTTTGACACGTTAGTGATTTTGTTTTGGAGTCATATACTTTTGGTTGTGTGAGAATGTCTGATTTTGTGCCAAATAATCGTCATTTGCGGGAAGTGTTGATTTTCTTATTTCATTCGAAGAAAATGGCGGCTGAAGCGCATCGAGAGCTCCAAAAAGTTTACGGAGATGCTGCTCTAAGTGAAACAACGTGCCGTGATTGGTTTCGTCGCTTCAAAGACGGTGATTTCGATGTTAACGACCGTCCGCGTGAAGGAAAGCCAAAAACCTTCGAAGACGCTGAATTGGAGGCATTGCTCGATGAGGATCCGTGCCAAACGCAAGAACAGCTTGCTTCAGCAGTAGGAGTTACCCGCCAAACCATTTCCAAGCGATTGCATGCGTTGGGAATGATTCAAAAGCAAGGAATTTGGGTTCCTTATGATTTGAAGCCAAGAGACATTGAGCGTCGTTTTTTCGCCTGTGAACAACTACTCCAGCGGCAAAAAAGGAAAGGTTTTCTTCATCGCATCGTGACGGGTGATGAAAAATGGATTCATTACAGCAACCCAAAGAAAAGAAAGTCATGGGGACTGCCCGGTCATGCTTCTACGTCGTCGGCTCGGCCGAATATTCACGCTGCGAAGGTTATGCTGTGTATTTGGTGGGACCAGGTCGGTGTTATTTATTATGAGCTGTTGAAACCGAACGAAACCATCACTGGGGAACGGTATCGAATTCAATTAATGCAATTGAGCCGAGCACTTCGCGAAAAACGGCCACAATACGAGCAGAGGCACGAAAAAATGATTCTACTGCATGACAACGCTCGATCTCATGTTGCCAAACCCGTTAAAACCTACTTGGAAACGCTCAAATGGGAAGTCCTACCCCACTCGCCATATTCCCCAGATATTGCGCCGTCCGATTATTACTTGTTCCGTTCGATGACACATGGTCTGGCTGATCAGCAGTTCCGCTCATATAAAGACATAAAAAAAATGGCTTGATTCGTGGATAGCCTTACAAGACGAACGCTTTTACCATAACAGTATTCGAGCTCTGCCAGAAAGATGGGAAAAAGTTGTAGCTAGCGATGGGCAATACTTTGAATGATTCATTTGTAACCATTTTTTCACAATAAAGTTGCATTTTCATAAAAAAAACAGCGAGAACTTAGTTGCGCACCTAATACTTTAGGCCAAATTGAACAAAAAGGTCCTCTATTATTTTGCAAATAATCACATAGATTTTTAATTATTAATTAAAGAAGATGAGTACATTATCACGCAAAATCGTGCAATAATCTTCTTTAATTAATAATTAAAAATCCATGTGATTATTTGGAAAATGGTAGAGAAATTTTTGGTTAAATTTAACCTAAAGTATAAGTACACAACGGCAGTCGTCGCTACTATAACTTATTTACCATATTCTGCATGATCATTTACAAGTTTTCTATTAATATCTCGATAATTATTGCGAATATCGCAAAACAGTATAGGACTTTTATGTTCACCTCAATCTGTTCTACGTCCCCACAAAATGCCCGGAGGAGAGTGTGAGACATCCTATATATATCTTTATATTATCAGAAATTGGTACAGACTTTTTCTAATATATATTATAATATATATACTTTATGTAAGATTTTCGTGTAAATATATAAATTTATGTTTAGAAAATTTTTTTGCATCCTATATTCCCTATAAGATATTTGAAAAAAATGGTGTAAAAAATATCTAGCTTTATTTCTTATATAAAAAGAAAAAGAAATATGTATATCAATAAACTTTCTTATATAATCTTAAATACTTAAGTTTCAATCTAAAACGTAAATTCTCAGTTACTTAAATAATACAATTATAACATTAGTTTATTCATCTGTTTCGTCATTGGGTTTAATGCTAGCGTAATTATTCATATTTCTATTTACTCTTAACATCTTAAGAAAACTGCCTAATACCAATATTGTTTTTCTGTGTCGCCTGAAGATTCCCGCATATAGTTCCTCACGTACATCTCTTCTATCGCTGACATCTGAATCGATACTCGATACTGAGATAACAGACGGCTTGGCTGAGACTGGTTGATGATAATTGTTGGTGTTCTCACCCGTGTTTAGAATCACACAGTGTTGATTATTTATCATTTTGGTTGACAATTTTGATACTTTTTTCTCAATTTTTCTATTTTATTACGCACCGTTATATTGTTTGCTCTTAGTATATTATTATAAAACTTAGTATTTTCATAAATATATAATTGACTAATAATTCGTTCACATATAAATGGTCGTGTATGTTATAAACTTAATTTTTTAGACACTGGAATATTCCTATATTCGTACCATATTATATGACAATTTTTAATTCGTTCTCAGAACAGCTAGTTCTGTGATGTTCGTAAAACTGATTTACGAGACTTTATAGAGGTTTTATAGATACGCCTATATACGTATGTGCATATGAATGACGCATTGTAACTTATAATAAAGAATAATGATAATATATCTGCTTTACCACGTCATTCAAACTGTCATGTCTCTTGAAAATTTAAGCCAGCTATCTTGTCAGTGTTTTACGTAGCAAACGTACACGCGATACTAAATGATCTATGTACAAAAGTATTTTTTTTTTTTAGTTTTTCTCTAATCCCTGTCGTTAAATCGTAGTTGAACAAATTCAAACAACTTCACAGTTTTCATACTTACGAAAAAAAGAATTTGACATGGAAGTAACTTCTTATCTTTCCGAACATAAATTTGTTCTTATCTTTCTGAACATAAATCCGTTACATTTTTGTACAAAAGACATCTGAATCTAAATATTTTCCTGAATACAACTTATTTAATTAAGTGAAAATTAATTGATTAGTTATTTTCATGGAACTTTTGAGTTGATCAGACCTGAATCACCTTAAATTATTATAAAATTTATGATAAGCTTCCCTGATATTTTTGCTGTTGAATAGGATGCACGTTGAAATTCCAATATCTTCTATTACAGAGGATGTAGCTTTAGTTTTCAATACCTTTTAGGCAAAAGATCCAACGTTGAATGATAAACTGTAAACAAATGGAATGAGGAAACTATAAACATGCAATGTAAAATTAAATAAGTAATATATATAGATTTAAAAGAAATAATATTTTTTATAAAATATACACGTTATGTCTCTATTAGCGTGTTCGATTGAACCTGGGTTAATCGACTCTGGATTATTAAATTCAAATTCATTGGTTAAATATTTTCGTATAAATTTTGTAATTGGCTAGTGGAGTCTTGTGACATTAATAATCGCTCTCGGATTAACCCAGAGTCAGCTAAACACGGTATATGGGCGAGTTTGGGCTATATGGGATGGATTCATCGATGAATTAAAAAAACTCACTCTATGTATCATATTTAAAATATTTAAGAGCCGGCAGGAGGAACTATGGAGACCTCTTACGGAGATTTATAGATTTGTTCCAATTTTACGGTCAAAATGCGAAGAAAATTTTTTTGTATTTATAATGTTCGTAGTCAACGTAATCGTTTGCAAAATATTATAGGGCGATTTAAAAAAAAAGATCAATATATAAATGCGATATAATTCTCACTTGAATAGGCGCTTAATGTAAAGTGTGCCACGAGTTGGTATTTTTATTTATTATAAATTAAAAAAAATTATAAATTCAAGATTTGCTAATTATAAAATTCGGTTCGGTAGCGCCTATTATTAATATACAAAGAATATATAAAAAAAAATTCGATAAGGAAATCAACTTCTTCGAGTCAGAAAATTGGAACGAATAAATAACAAAGTGTAACTAAATTGCATTTTGGTGCAGCTAACTTGTAATCTAACCTTTCTACTATTGCGTCCACATAAACGATGCATTAGATCCGCGTGCGTATAAACCACAGACTTCTATATAATTCTCTCTGTAGTGCGCTCGGGATCGCGCCAGAGATGTCGCTTCCGAACGGCATCTCTGAGCGTTATCTAGGGAGAGGAAAGTGTCGTGAGCGTGGAGCGTCAGATAGCTCAGTGGTTTAGAGCAATCGCCCGGCAAGCGAAAGACTTGGGTTTGCCTAGCAAACTCTCAATATTTTTCTTTCTCTGGAACGAAAAGATACGCAGATCTCGAACGCATGACGTTTCGCTGCCACTTAGTATGCCCTCCTCCTTCTATATAATTACTAGATTGCTGACTCCCTTATATAGTGCTATATAATAAAATTGACCTCGAAAAGTATGTATCACGCACGGGAAAAAAGGCATTTATGCATGCCTGAAACTGGTGTTCCAGGAAATGATGATATAAATGATAAAAATATGGTCGATGCCGCACAGTGGGCCAGCGATCCAGTAAAGCTGGTTAAAGATATAAAAAACGAAATTTCACATAGGCTATCCGAACATAACTATAATGTTAATATAATGATTAGTTCAATGTATTCTGGCAGAATTATTCGTCTATTTTGCTGTTTCTTTAATTCATAGTGACTTGAACATAATTTAAATAATTAAATAATTTAATAATTTAAAATATCCTATTTTCTTCTTTCCGCGCAATGTATATAGAAGTTTGTATTGCGTAAAATAGTTATATGAAAGAAAGAATGATTATAACATCATTTATAATGGCTCTTTAGCTATCCATAACAATTATCAATCAGTAAGAAAAATATAATTTATTATTTTTTGGACTATTTATCGAGTGACGAACTTTGCATTCTCTTTCCACACATTTTTTGATTTACAAAAAAAGTTCCACGTGATACCACCTAGGTGCTTTATTAATTCTACAACTTAAAATCTTCTTTTTAGTTTGTGCAAAGATGATCTGTGTATATGTGCGATCTTAAGAGATAAATGTTGTAGAAATGACTACTATATTTCCAGACTTATGTATTTCCAGTATTTTATTAGTATTGTTATGTTGCAGCAAATGAAAAATCTGCAACTGCTTTTTATCCATCATTATAATTAGATAAATTATTATAATAACGTGCAGAGTGAAAAAATAGAAAACAGACAAAACAGCGGAACATTATATATTTATGTTTCTGAATATTTATCGCAATGTTATTCTTTGCAACAAAAGTTGTGCGAAATTGCGCCGCGTATCTTTATGTTTGAAATACCGTGAGGTTTGTTTATATGTGTTGTATAAGATCAGCTGCCGTTCATAATTTATGGAGATATTCGCGAAATACTGTGTACACGCTTCATGTCTATGCACAATGCACAATGGATCAGCAGATCTAAGAAAATGACTAAAAATTAAAAATGCTTCCATCGTCGTGAAATTTCGTACCTGTAAATTTTCGGGATCGCTGAATTCGAATCCAAACTTAGGATTTAGAAATTCAAAATGGCGGGTCCAAAATGGCGGACAGAAATGTTAAAAGTGCTCCGATCGTTGTACAACTTGGTACTAGTAGATTTTCGGGGTCGTTATATTCGAATCTGAACACAGAATTTAAAATGTCTAATTCAAAATGGCGGATAGAAATGCTAAAAGTGCTCCCATAGTTGTGAAAATTTGTATTGATAGGTATTCAGGGTCACTACATTCGAATCCCAATTCAAAATTAAAACATTCAAATTGGCTAGCTTTTTTGGTCTTTCGCCATATTGGATCTATTTTGAATTTCTAAATTTAAATTCGTATTCAGTGACCTCAAAAATTCCCAACTATCTAGTTTTACTCAAATGAAGTCACTATTTGCATTCGGCCCAACATATTACATCCGCCATATTGAATTTTAAAAATATGATATCATATTGAGATTCAGCGATCCCAAAAACTCCCGAATACCGAGTTTCATCCAAATCAAGCCACTTTTCGTATTTTGGTCCGCCATATTGAATCCGCCATTTTGAATTTCAAAACTTTGACATTAAAAATGAAATGAACGATGCCGAAAACCTTATATAAGTGTAATGATGTTATATATGTTTACATATTCTACAAGATATTAATTTTGGTCAGTTTTATTGGTCTCCTGGCCCACTGTATGCCGTCTGCTCACTGAAATATATACCTGGAACGCGCGCTGCCTCGTGAGGATTGCAGATAGAAATGCAACATTTGATAGCTATATAACATTCTCCCCGCTCTCGACTATACTATGAATCAGACAAGTATAACAGAAGAAACAGGGACCTCTCATCCCGTAATCCTCACGAAGCAACACACGTTCCAAGTAATATATATTTCAGTGCGTCTGCTTAAATATTTGTGTACGTACAGAGTGAAATACGTTACAGTAAGAAATTTGTAAAAATAAGTGATTGATGAATTGTGTACCTACATCAGAGTGCAATAATGTCTAAAACGAGATGCTACATTGTGAATGGAGTGGATCACCAGATAGGCGCATGCGCGATATTTCTGTACATATTTTTCGGGGTTATGTACTTAGTCGGAATTAACAGTCTAATAGAAATATAGAAGTCTATGGAATGGACATGCTAACAGATAAAGACGATATTTTGCACTCTCACCGTAACGAAATCTCCAGAGTTAATTCTGGATTTGCTCTTGGCTCCTGTCGGGTCTTACTGTTCCTGGATATTCGCCGCGGTCATGTTGGATCGTGAGAAATGATACGCTGAAAAATGATTGCGTTCCACTTACAAATAAAAAGATATTTGAATAAAATAAAATATTAAATCATTTAAGCATACTTGCGAAATGCTCCGAAAATTATACTTTTTCCTTAATAGTGAATAAATATAGCCGTAAAATTAATGTGATATGCAACCTTCTCTTTAATTTACATTTTTTCACGATTTTATCTCCTTAATTTGATTATCAAAATAGAAGGATAATTTTCAGAGCATTTCAGAGCAAATATGCTTTAGCGATCTCAAATATTTCTTCATATAAATATCTTTTTATTTGAGAATAGCATAAAAGAATTTTAGGCTTGCATTTTTGTTTTTTCTAACGTCATCAATCTAGAATTCTGCGACGAGGGATTAAGGCTTGGTCTACAATGCGAAATAAGCCATCAGCCGTAAGAATTGACCAATTATAGTCGATTATTACAAGAATAATAGCTTTAAACCTTAAAAGTTAGGGGGCACACTAACAGAAATAAAAATTAAGTAATATTTGAGAAGTTGTAAATTAATAGAAATATGAATTTTTTGTTATGTATGTCTATTAACAATATTTTAATATAAAAACTAAATTTTTAATTATACATATTAATATATTCAATATATATTTAATTATATATATTATATTAATTTTATAATGAATATTAATATCACTGTGTTAATTTCAATTCTGCAAAAGAATTAACTTAATTGCTTTAACAGTAATCATTCTGGTTTCAACAGAAGTGTTCTAAAATTAATATCAATATATTTTTTTATTTATTAAAGTTATAGTTGTCGGCTTACGGAAACTTTCCACAAATTACAATCATTATTTATTTATTTATTTTATAAGATTTTATAAGATTTTTTGGTAAACTTTTACCTTAGTGTAGATTATCCCTTTCGGATGATCTTGATCTTGACATATATTGTAAAAATGACCCTGAGTAACCTACAAAAGGTTTCACCGGTGCTCTTTGTTCCTTAAAAAATTATGAACAAAAAATTTTGATAAATGGAACACAATATCTGCAGACAGTGTATTTAGAAATATGGTACACATATATGCGCGGGGGTTCCGCCCCTCCCCCCGCACCCTTTTCCCAATTAATCTAACCCTAGCCTAAGTCATCATTAACAAATTTTTTTATAAATGAAATGTAATTTTTGCATACAGTGTATATAGAATATAGTAAACAGTACACGTATATGTGTGAGGGAGGAGTTCCGCTTCTCCTCTCGCACTCTCCCCAAAAATCTAACTCTAATCTAATCCATCAATAAAATTCGTATTTATATTCAACGAGTTTCATAAAGAAATATGCGATCAATTTTAATTATTTATTGTTCGATTCCCAGACACAGCACAAAATATTTATAAAATTTATTTGAATATTTTATAAATATTTACCAAAATATTTCATAAATATTTTTATGCCCTTAGCTTCAATAGATTATAAGTATTTATCATATATATCATAAAAATAATTACCTATATATTATGTGTATGTATATATATATTATATTAATTATATTATTACAATTATATGTATATATATATATATGTATATATATATATATATATATATATATATATATATATATATA